TTGTGAAAAATGTTCCTTTCCTACTTCCAACACCTTTTCGACTTGTGTTATCAATGGACCAGTACCCTTTTTACTGCTTGCATCATTAGCTTGATTGTGTTGCCATACAACCTTACCTTTTGGTAAATTGTTTTCCTACTTTTGTTTCTTGATTCTTTCTCATTTTGAGCCTCCCTGAGCCTCTTCATTCCAAAACTTCTGCTTGACCATTCTTTGTGATATCTTTGCATAGTTCTTTAGTTCTTTTGATTTCCCAGCAGTCTTGGCTTATTTACACTTCTGTAATGTTTGTGTTTCATTGCTTCTTCAGTTTTTTCTTCTCTGCATATGCTTTCCAATAATTTCACCCACTGTGTTTTATATCACTTTCTTGAATATTTCCCATGCAATTTATAGTGAAATGTCTTTTCACAAATTAATGGCCTGAAATGGCCTCCAATTGCCACCTTGTGTTCCTTCCTTGCAGAACTATCCTTTAACTTATCAACAACCAATTGTACCCATCTTTTTTCTGGACTAATTTAATCTCAAACTTTCTCATTAGTAGTTCTTTATCACTGCCACACTCTGCACTATAGACTCTAACATCCAATGATAACTATTTGTTTTTCCTGATAATGATGTAGTCACCCTGGTTTTTAGTTTGACCATTTGATCATGTAATCTTGTACACAAAAAGTTCTTAATCTTTCCCCATTATTGTTTGCCATCCCAATGCCATTTGGTCTAACACTATTCATTTGCTTACTATGTCTGCTACCAACCTTTGTATTCGTATCTCCCATTATTAGACTCATATCATAATCGGGAGTGTTGACTACAGTGCCATCTGGTTGTTGATCAAATCCACCCTTCTCTTCCTCTTCTGCTTCTTTTGTTGGTACATAACATCAGGTCACAGTTATGCATAATTTGTTGCAGGCAGTAGAAAAACATGCAATGACAAACTGTTCAGATGCCAGTTTCCAGCTGTTCACTGAAGTAACTTTTTCTTGTTCACCACAAAAGCAACCCCATCTCTGTGTTTCACTTGTCCACTTGAATGCTCAAAATATTTTCCATCTGTCAAGTCTTCTGCACCCTCTCAATATGTCACCTTTATGGCAGCAAAGGATCTGGTAATTTAACTCCACTATTCACTCAGTCTGTCTTAGAACAAATAGACTTCTCACATTCCAACTCACAATATGTATATGTTTAGCTATTATCCAAAATGCTGTTGATTTAAATTGTAGTCTAAAAGCGTCATATCAGTACATATTTAATATCAAAGCAATAGTAGTTTATCTTAATGTATGCAGTAGGAATTTTCACATAATTATATTAGATTTTAAAAACTAAATTAAGAGAACGTATTTTGGTTACATAGCGAGCAATCAAATTAGGCAATGATAGAATTAAGATTGTCTGTTCCTTCCCCTTTATACTTTTATCTTCTTGCATTCACACATCACAATAATCTTCAGTCTCTAATTACAGGGTCACAGAATATTTTTTCCTATAGGAGGCCTGCTTCCTTCAGTGTACAGGATGAAGGGTGTTAAGGGAATGAATCAAGGTTTCAGAGTATTTAATAAGGTTTGTAGGATTTCGTTGAGGACATTGGGGGTTTGTACTAGTTATGGTTTGCAGACATACAACAGTTAAAATATGTTCTTTCTAAGCATTTTCTGATATAAGGACAGATTCACAGAGTTCACTGGGTACAGCAAAGTGTGGAGCTTAGCAGAGAGATGTTTACAGCATATTAATCTTCTTCCCCAGCTTTGGCTCACTTCAAAACAGCCATGGGGCTTTGCTAACTTGACCGAAGCAGGCATACGGTCTCTTAGTGGACCATTACTGGAGTGCATTACTCTCCGTTCCTTCCTTCTTTTCCTTTCTATACCCTCCTCCTGTGGCAGGGATGAGTAGGTTCTGTCAACTCTGTGCCTGCTGGAGACTCCACTACATTGAGGAAATCCCCAGTAGGTGAATGAGGGACATTTTTGTTTTCTGTGTGCCACTTAGGAGTATGAAGTCAGAAAATCTGCCCATAGACACTCCAGTTTTTGTGAGAAAGCATGAAAGAAGATCAGCAGAATAAAACTGTAAAAGCCCAGCCCTGGGTGTATCAAATGAAAAGACTGACAGCTAAGAAATATGAATGAATAAATAAATGGCTGAAAATACTGCATAATAGCGGCTGAAAATCTCAATGATATTTTAGATTGTTTTAGAAATATTCTCTTTATAAAGTGACTTTCTGTAACCAAATATTGCAGTTCTTTTCACGTTTCTTCACTACTTTTACTGCTTCTTACTGTTCAGCTAAAGCACATTTGGGCCCTCATTCAGCAGAACATTTATGTCTGTGCTTAACCTTGGTCAACAGAACTATTCACATACTTGAAATGTTTAACTGCTTCTTTAAGTACTTTGTTGAATAGGTATGGAATTATTCTTAGGAAATCCTGGCACCTCTAAAGTCAGTGTCAATCACTGATTTCAGTGAGGATGAAATTTCACTCCAGATCTCTACAAATTCTGGAAACTCCAAAGAATTACTAGCATATTACTGAAAATGGGGATTATGTAGGGATTCACTGCAACCATCCCCAAAACTTTACAGTTTAATTAATGTAAAATTGTATGAGATGATGTGCAGGCCTGGTTCTGCATGAGGTTTGAGCTATTGTGCTAGATAAGGACCTGGGACTTCCTAAACTGTCATACAACTCCATTTAAATATAAGTAAATGTGAACTGTGTTTAAGTATGATTCTTCAATTCTGTTGTAATTCCTGAAAACATCCCATGCTGGAGTTTGCAAGATGAGGAGCAGTATGAGGTTCATTCATGAGTTCTGTTCACCTTTGTATGTACTCCAAATGAACTATTTTTGTCAGTTTCTATACATTCCAACACAATCTAATCTCTGAAATAAAAGTGTTTTCATACACATGGTTTAAAGAATGCCCTAATATAAAACCTTATACATTTATGCTTTTTTTCCTGTTGTCAGACGGTCACCCATGTGTAACCAACCATCCATCAATAAAGCAACTATAACAGGTAAGAGAGATTAATATAAGCCAAAGTGAAAGTATAATGAGCTGAATAATTATTTATGAAATAAAAATGTAATTAAAAATGTATGGCTCTTTGAAATCAAAACAATATATTCTTTTAGATCCATACGTTTATTTTGTAAAAAAGGATTTGGCAATTTTTTTTGCCAGACATAGAAAATTAATTCTCTCCTTCCAGTGATATGTCATTTTAGACATGAGTAGCTATGGATATAGATCCATAGACACAGATATAGCTATGGATATAGATCCATAGACACAGATATAGCTGTATCCTTGGTGTTGATGTATGTTCACTCCCAGACTGTTTTTGAGATGTTGGAAATGTCAATAAACCAATATCTTTTGTCCTCCATTTCTTCTGTTTATATTAATATGGAACTATGGGTAATACTGCATAGTGGTAAATTGATACCCTGAAATCTAGTCATGGTATAAGCAACAAATTGACGTACTCATTGGAAAGTAAAGTTCCACAGGCAGTGTCTTAGTATGATTTAGTACCCAGTGTGAACGGAAAGGATTTCAAAGTACATAAGTGATTTGGAGCCTAGGTTTCATGATCAATATTTTTTGTTTTCTTGTTTTGTTCAGATGGGTTCATACTCACTGAGTTGCACTTTGAGTTCAGCATTAGAATGAATCCTGGTACTGAAGTGAAGTTTGGCCAAAACCACTATGTTTGACTTGGTTTAGGTTTGAAATGACGTAAAATTGCTGTGTTCTGCATGGTTTCCTTCATAAAGCATAAATTCCCCCATAGCACTTGGATGCCAGCCTTATGTTCACTGATCCCACAAATCAGCAATGAGCAACCTAGTGAGTGGGCTGCATGAATGCTTCATCTAAACAAGATATAAGATTGTCATAACCAAGATGGCTTCCTGGGATAGAGTAGTTTTGCTAATTGCGCTTCTGAATCTAAAATGTGCAGGGTGTACAAATGAATAGTACTGGACCAAACGGCATTGGGATGGCAGAAGGCTGGGGTGGATGCAAAGTCTGTGCCAGTGCTAGGTACAGGAGTGGGCTGGGGGCAGAGTCTGGGTGGGAGATTGGGTGCAGGAGTGGACTGGAATGGGAGTGAGAGATTTTGGCTGGAAGTAGGGTGCTGAGATGGCATTTCAAAGGGTGACTGGAAAAAAAGTCAGAGCCAGAAAACACCCCAGCTATTCTCTCTTTGGGTACGTCTACACTACAGCGCTAGTTCGAACTAACTTAGTTCGAATTAGTTAATTCGAACTAAGCTAGTTCGAACTAACGCATCTAGAACTAAAAACTAGTTCGAACTAGCGTTTTGCTAGTTCGAACTAGCAAGTCCACATTGAGTGGACTCTGAACAGGGCTTAAGGATGGCCGGAAGCAGTGCCGGCAGGGCATAAAAGGAGAACTTAGAGCGTGGAGATGCTGTCTCAGGCTAGCCGAGGGCTGCGCTTAAAGGGTCCCGACCCCCACCCCGGACACACAGTTCTAAGGGGTGCCCCGCTTGCAAAGAAGTTCTGGCTTGGAGTGCCCTGAGTGCCCACACTGGGCACATCACACCACTCGGCCATCAGCCCGGCTGCACTTGCCGCAGGCTGCCATCTGGGGAGAGGGAGTAATTGGGGGGCTGCAGGAGAGCTTCCACCCCCAGAAGCCCGCAGAGCCAGCCCAGTCCTCCCCATCGGGGGCTCGTACCTCATTCCTCCCTCACCTCCTTCCACTTACCCTTCCCTAGCCCCCCTTCTTATTGATGTACAAAATAAAGATAACGTTTCTTCCAACATTGACTCTGTCTTTATTGAAAAAAACTGGGGGAGACTGGGAAAAGGAGGTGGGAGAGGGGAAGAGAAAGGCTGGGAGAGGGGAGGGCAACTAACATGATCAGGGGTTGGGAACAGGTCCCAGATGAAGAAAGGCTACAGAGACTGGGACTGTTCAGCTTAGAAAAGAGGAGACGGAGGGGGGACAGGATAGAGGTCTCTAAAAGCAGGGGTTGGGTGGAGAGGGTGCATTCAGAAAAGTTCTTCCTGAGTTCCCATAAAGAAGGACTAGAGGACACCAAAGGAAAGGAATGGGTAGCAGGCTTCAAACTAGTAAGAGAAAGTTGTTCTTCACAAAGCAAAGAGTCAACCTGTGGAACTCCTTGCTGCAGGAGGCTGTGAAGGCTACAACTAGAACAGAGTTGAAAGGGAAGTGAGATCAAGTCATGGAGGTTGGGTCCATGGAGTCCTATTAGCCAGAGGGTAGGAGTGGTGTCCCTGCCCAAAGTTTGTGGAAGGCTGGAGAGGGATGGCACGAGACAAATGGCTTGGTCACTGTCTTCGGTCCATCCCCTCCAGGGTCCCTAGGGTTGGCCGCTGTCGGCAGACAGGCTACTGGGCTAGATGGACCTTTGGTCTGACCCAGGACGGCCATTGTAAGCTCAGGGCTCAGGGTCGGGGGTCTCAGTGGACCCCCTTGATTTTCATGCACACCTGGGTGGCCAGGCTGGCAGCTCTCCTGCCCTAGACGGCCACTTTCCTGTGCCTAGTGTGGAGATCGTGGACGAGGTCCACGATGTCCGCACTAGCCCAGGAAGGTGCCCGCCTCTTGCGGTCCAGGGCAAGCTCCCGGGAGCCACCAGCCTGGTCCCGGCAAGAGGGGGTGGGCTGGGGGGCATCGGGTGGGTGGCTCTGTGCCGTGCCAGGTGCAGGGTCTGCTAGCTGGGTGCTGGCAGGCTTGCACCTGGCACGGGCACCGTAGCCAGCCCGTGCCCCTTTAAGGGGTCCGGGGCCGGGAGGGGGGCATAGAGTTTCCCTGGTGTTGGCCAGAGTGGCCACCAGGGAAACCTGGGGAGGGCTAGCCTCCCACTAGTTCGAACTAGGCGTTAGTCCTCGTAAAATGAGGTTTACCCAGTTCGAACTAAGCGCTCCGCTAGTTCGATTCAAATTCGAACTAGCGGAGCGCTAGTGTAGCACCTATTAAAGTTAGTTCGAACTAACGTCCGTTAGTTCGAACTAACTTTGTAGTGTAGACATACCCTTTCTCTTGCTATCTTTCTCTAGCTATCTCTTGAATCTAAGAAGACAAAGACACCAGCCCATTGACTTTGGGGGGAGGGGCATCCTGACCTGATAATTTAGTTATCAATGTTACTAGGAACACTTGGTAAAGATTTTACCTTGAACCAAACCTGGCTTGTTAAGTTCTAGTTACTAGAAAATGTTTTATCTTTATATCCCTTGTAACCATTTCTGACTTAAATATCTTGTTGTTGTGTTCAATTAAAACCTAAAAAAAAAGAAGTTTGTTTTTTATCAAAACTAATCCAACGTTGTGTTTAAGTTGAATTATTTGGTAACTGCAATTCAAGTAGCAAGCTGTTGTATATTAGCTTCTTATAATGGCAGCAAATCTTCAGTGTCTAAACTTCACTGGAGAGGGTTGGACAGTGCAGAACACATGTTTTGGGGGAATATTGAAGACTGGGAGTGTGTTGGGATTACCCGGCAGATCGTAACTGTGCTAGGAAGCCATAGTGTGACTGGAGTGTTGCTGGCAGGTTGCAGCTATACACAAAGCTATACATACAGGTGTGTGACCTGCATATGGTTTAGTTGTTTGTGACGGGCTTGTGAGGGGCACAAATTATGGAGCAAACAGTGACATAACCTCTCACTGGTCTGGATTGCATCCCACAATTTGAATACCCTAACAGAAGTTGTATATGCACATGCAAACCAGTGTCTTAGAAGCTCCTCTACATCTTTTTTCCTCCAGCAAAAGTAGCTGCCCACACAGTAGGACTCTGCTGGATGCCACTGTTACAGTCTTAAACTATCCCACTGATCTGGAGGTTTTCCTTTATTCAATTTCCAGAGTGCAATGTGCATGTCAGAAGCAATGTATCATTTGAGGACTGAATGCCTGTAAGATCTGAGGTGCACTCAGGGAGCAATTAGACTAGAAAACTCTTCTCTGTCAACACATTTAAAGGGAGCAACAGTGGACAGCAGTGAAGTGCAGGGTAGTTTAATGTCATGTAATGTTAACATGCTCCACCAGAAAGGCTAGCAGATCTGCCATGTCTAACCTCCATAAGAAGGTAGCTGCATCTGAAAGACCAAAAGATTTTTATGTTGAGGGTAGTATTACATCACTGTAGACCATGAACAAGATTAAGAGTCAATTTGGCTGATGAGTAAGGGTTTAATGTCAATGGTATTTTGCCTGAACTGATCTGCCCATCCCTAGACATAATGTTGTATTTAATATTATTGTTATTTCTATAGTAACAGACTTTAATGACTAAGCACAGAGTTTACATAGATCCCTTCCTGGGCCATATAAAATCATAGCAATGCATGTTACACCAAAGCAATGCACCAAAGAAGAAAGAAATATACAAGCATTTTTCCTACCTTTCTCACAACAGTTAAAAAAAGCAATCCTTGGCTGGCTCTACCTGTCCCCTTTGACTCTTGGCAGAGGTGTCTGAAGTACTGCCTCTCAGGCTTCCTTACTACTGGCAAGTCCTCTAATCAATGCTGCTCATTGTGCTCTAAATATTTAGATTTTCAGACAACTGGAACACCAATCACAACAGCACAGACAGCACTTCTAAAGCTGTAAACTAGATAGATGGATGATGCATTGTCGCTAAAGTAAATAATAAGCACTTTGGGCGGTAGATTAACGTTGATAGGCTTCCTAGGAAAAAGGTGTTCTCAGGTAGGTTTTAAAAGAGGAAAGGTAGGATGTTAGGATGTGAAGGGAGTTCCTACTATAAAAGGCAGCAAGGACAAAGGTATAAAAAAAAGCTGAGGAAGAGATACAAAGAAAATAAGGAAGGGAATGGGGCGTTTCTTTATTGAGATCATAAGGAAATGTTTTTAATTATAGTTACTCGTTTTAAGGAAGCCCAAATGAGGAGAAAGAATGTATTAGCTGGAAGGAGTTGATATTGGAATTCATTGAAGCACATGGATACAGTTTTTCAAATTGTTTGGCAGAGAGTATGGC